GAATGCCACTGTTATGTAAAATTATAATATAGCAATTAAAAAAAAAGACTTTATGAACCAAAAAATAATTAAAAAGATTTTGTTTTGGGTGCTATGAAACAAATCTATAGAAGACAATAGGGTCATAAAAGATTGAGTTAATAATCATTTCTAACTGAAGGAAGACAGTCCAGTCAAGGAAACTCTAACCTTGGAGCTGAGTCTTGTATATTGAGTAGATACTAAAAGGACAGAGGAGATAACACAGGTATCTATACACAGGCAGGCAGAGGACTCAAGGCAAGATGGGAAGCACCAGCCTGTTTTACTCAGAAAAAGATTAGAAGTTTGACTTTACAGACACAAAGAGGCGGCCTGTAATGAACACAGACACTGAAGAGGTGGACAAGGGGCAGATTTTGAGGAGAATAAAGACTTAAGGGAGCCTTAAAGGTTTTAAGCAAGTGAACAACATAGTTTCAGATTTCATTGTCTAGTGGTTTTGATTAATTTGTTGTTTGGGGTTCCCCCCCCCAATATATTTAGTTATGGTGTTACAGCAAGTTTGTTGTTATTGTTGTTATGTGTATATATGATATATGTGTATATCTGCTATCAAACTATTTAGCAGATCCATCACCTCACTAGTTTTGTGTATATGTAGTGAGATCATTTAAGATCTACTTTTTTAGCAAATTTCAACTATATGGTACAATATTGCTAATTATAGTCACCATGAGAAACATTAGATCTCCAGAATTTATTTACTAATTGAAATTATATACCCTTGGACCAGCATCTTCCTATTTCCTCCACCCACAACTCCTGATAACCAACATTCTCTCTGCTTGTGTGAGCTCACCTTTTTCATATTCCACATATTAGTGAGCTCATGCAGTATTTTTTTTTCTGTGCCTCGTTTATTTCACTTAACATAATGTTCTTCCAGTTTGCTGTTATTTCAAGTGTCAGGGTTTTCTTCTCTTTTTTTTTTTTAAGGCTAAATAATGTTCGTTTGTGTATGTATACTGTTGTCCTTGATATCTGTAGGGATTGGTTTCAGGCCTTCCCCCCCCCCCATAGATACTCCAGTTCTTTTTTTTAAATATATTTGCCTATAATCTCTGCACTCCTCCTGCATACTTTAAGTCATTAGTAAATTATTTGTA